GAGGGCCATTGAGGTTAAACAAGAAATACATAAGAATTCAAAAAATATAACCAAAAACAACTAGAAAAACACAAAATGGAAATGAAACCAATAAACTAGAAAACACAGAAAGACATGAATCAAAGTATAGCTGAAAACTAAAAAATAGTGCAGAATCATGACAGATTGTGTTATTCGAAAATAAGAAAAGGTTTGCATTTTGAATGCCTAATGTTGCACATTGATGCTCTTTCCATCATTTTCACAGATTAATAAAACAATATAAGGACCAAAGTTTAAAAAATGACAAGTTTTTTTTTTTTTTTTTAGAAAAAAACAAAATGAAAAAAAAAAAAAAAACATAAAGCAATGTGTAAGTTCTCCATTCCTAAAATTTTAAGTATGAGGCATCAATTTTGTATTAGAAATCAATTGATAACATTTTTTTTTAAAGGCTGATACTGATTATTTTCACATCAGTCTTATTGTTCCCCAACAGGTGCTGCTGTTATTCTTGAGCCTATTCTTGGAACCAATATTGTTTTTATCTTCCCCCATTTATATAATAAAAATGACACAGTGATAAATACAAGTCTCAATCTAAACTAAATTTAAACATTTATTACCAAATCATCATTAACAATGGAGGGAGCGGAACATGCATGTGATTCATGTTGTCTTGTGGCATTGCTGCTGAATGCACTAACAATTCGGCCAAGGCATGCATGTAGAAAAAAACGGTAGTATTTGCAAAAATTTAATTCTGGCAAATGTCTTTATTTAATATCAACATAATTATGACTATGAAAAAACAGTTTAAAATGTAAAAAAAAGAAAACCAAAACTATGCCAGACCATTTCATTCAAAACATCTCTCCCATCAACCAGGACTCAGAATCAGAAATACTTTGATAATCCCAGGGCAAAATTACTTTTGTTACATTACTCCATCTGTAATAGAGTGACTATTTCATACAATATATATATAATTAGGGGCTCCATCTCACTATCAGTTTGGAGGTCCTTGGCCTGGAAAACATTGAAGACCTCTGTTATAAGAAATTACTTTTTGAAAAGAGGCTGTTATTCATTTACACACTTCGATTACACTCTTTGATTGGCCACTTGCTTTTAGCTTCTAAAGCCTTTGCTTTGGTTTTGATTAGTCGGAAAGCTCATACTTTATGAATAACAGCAAAGTGCCAGATAAAAGGGAGAATTCTGCTGCCTGGTTGATCTAAGTTGAACACATCATATTCGATTTGTTCCCAGAGAATCAACTGCAAATCTCTTGACCTCATCCATTAGCCTAAACGACTCAAAGGTTAAGTGCAGACATTTAAAGGTGGCTGCTTTTATTAGGCAGATCTTGCCATCAATCCAGTGACTTTATCTGCTCACAAAAATATTCCACCATAAAACATCTGCTGTCTTTATTCGCAATTTGCTGAATGACCATTAATATAAAAAACTCACATAAAATGTCTTTATGCAAACCTGAAATACTATGATTTTTGGATTACCTAAGCAGGCTTAAACAGTGTATTAGAGGTAGCCAGGATTCATGTTAGGATCTAGGGATTTTGCTCTGCTTGCAATGAAATTCAATAATGATAATGGCAAAAACTTTATGTGTCATTTTAGCCATTCTTGCATGTATTTTGTTGTGTGATCTAGTGTCTTAACACACATTAAAATATTACTTTCTGGTGATGATCACCCTCATCCTTAGGCAGCCCTGTACTCTTCAGCCTCTTAATGGTTTCTGTAACCCATACGCTCTAAGTGGGACTCCTTCCTTTTCAAAACAGAGAGGAAACCTCCTACACCTTTTTCCTTCTACAGGCTCAGTAAAACTGTAGCTGAGAGTAGCTAAATAATGAATCATACATTGTATTTTACCCATGAGTAGCTCATGCTGAGAAGCTTTACGGATATTGTTCTGCTTACTTCTTGTTTCCCACAGTTGTTTTCCTTTTGCCTGTGGTTAAAATGCTGGAAAACTTTTCAAAAGTAACAGAAGCTGTACTGTTTAGTACAGGTTTACCGCAGCCTTTGTTGAAGATTGGATCTGGGCCAATACTGAAGTCAATTCCTACCCAGTAAGAGGAGAATACAGATGGTAAAACCTGGAATAGTCAATTTACGCAATACTGATGAAATAAAACTGTGTCATAAATTCAGATAAAGGTGATTATAACTATTGTAGTGCAAAAAAGCTTACAGATGACAGATTTTTTGTGCAATTAAATAATTCTTGTTTTTGCAAAAATGGCAGACGTTCAGCAAGCTCAATGAAATCCTATGTAAAGATCCCATATCATTGCAAAAATCTTTGTTAGATTGTTAGACGAAGACTGTGGGAGACAAGGTTTTTATGCAACATAATCCTTCTTTAAAAAAAATGAAGGGTCATGACAGTCCTGATAATATAGGGTTAAGCTTGGGATGAAGAGGGGAGATGGTGAAATTGGAGAAATTGTGAGTGCCCCCATGTATTCAATTTGATGAGGGGGTGTCCCTTGGTGTGTGTGAGTAGGACAGAAGGACTTAAAAGATTAAACCTCGGCCACAGTGAGACGACCCCTCTCTGGGGCATTCTCACTACAAGAAAGCTCACTTACTGGTGTACCATTTGCATGGCTTTCTGTTCTACCCAGGGAATCGGTCTTTCTCCCTCCCTATCATCCTTTTCTCCAGGTTTGCACCTTGAAAGATTGCTCCAATCCATCAGCTTGGCTTGTTTCTTAGGCACACAATAGAGAGTAGTATTTAGGACACTTGGCAGGGTAGGCATGTTGGAGGGAATGGAGAACACAGGCTGCTAAAGGCCTTTGCATGGTTTCCACGTCCATCTGCACAAGACTGCTGGGTCTTTCCCGATGCAAATTAACTTTAGCTTTTTTGGGTCAGGACCGCACAAGAGTTTCGTTCTGTCTTACTCTCCCATCTGCTGATTTTTTTTTTTACAGCTTTTAATGAAATAAGTTGGAGGGATATTTCAGAATGTATTGAGATATAGTGCTATAGTAAACTATTTACAACCCCAGACCCTTTTCACACCTCACTATATTGCAATCATAAAAATTAGGTGTTTATTGTAAGATTTATTTTAGTTCCCTAATATACAAAACAGGTACATATGCAGACCCATTCAATAAATGAAAATATCATTGCAAGCTGAAATAAGAAATAATAAGGAAACTGTTTGCTTATATCTTGAAATTGTTAGGGTCTTAGAGGTTTTGCAGTTTTCTACTGTGAGTGACCCTCTTGTCACAGACAGGATCTTTGCTGGTGGCTGCGCACCTGAGGTCATTTCTCAATCAAGATGACTGGCGTGTATATGAGGAAGTGATGGATCATCTGTCTTCGCTGGATGAATACCCCTGATGGTATTCTAGGCAAAGGCCTAAACCACAAGAGTGAAACCCCTGGTTGGAGGGAGTTGAATATCCTGTTATTATGTGGACTGACCACAAGAATCTGGCCTATTTCCAAGAACCATAATGTCTGAAACCTAGACAGTCATGTTAGTCTCTGTTCTTTTCCCATTTAAAACCCCAAACACGATGCAATGCCGAGGCAATACTCCTGTGATCAGGAACCTATCTCAACCATCATTCAATCATTCTGCATTGTCGGGCCCTTAAAGTGGGAAATAACGAATAGAGTGTTGGAGGTTCAGTCGACCAAACTGGACCCTGGCACTGAACTTCCAAACTGGGTTTATGTTCCTGCTTCTAGTAGGTCCTGACTCATTAAGTGCGCCCGCACGGCAAAATTGCCCTGCTATATTGGAATCAACAGAACTTTCACACTCCTTAAATGACATGTGTGGTAGCCTACATTATATGAGGGTATTAAAAATATGTTCTAGCCTCTCCATTGTGTGTGCCAAAGCTAGTGATCAGCTCCATCCATGCTCTCATATTGCCTTGAATTTCGTTTTTGGACTACCACCATCTAAGAGTTTCACCACCATTCTCCATATAAACGACAGCTTCTCCAAAGCCTGCCACCTCATCCCTCTTAGTAGACTTCCATTACCTCTTGATACAGCTTAGCTCTTGACTCGGAATGTTTTTCACCTTCACTGACTCCCTTGTGAAATCCAGGGGTCCGCAAATTTATCTCCCTATTCTGGAAGGAGTTTTGCACCTCTTTGGGAGGTAAGACTGCTCTCAGTCCAGGTTTTTATCCCCAAAGTAATTATCAATCTGAACTCATGAACCATGTAGCTTGAGGCTTGAGTACTCAGTTGCCTTGGGTCAAATTTGCAAATAATTGTTAAACTTCCTCTACTACTGGTCTGTCTCCATTTGGGTCCTCCTAGGATACCAAGCTTCCCTGTTTCCATCTGACGAGCAGGACATTGCAATTATCTCTGTCAAACACCACAGTTGGCATTACGGACGTGTCTGGAAACTGAGAGTTTCTGCGTCGAACCGGTTAGTGGAAACAAATCGATGTCTGGCTGATCGGAGAAGGATTCCTGCTTCCCATTACTCAACTGGAGAAATGCTTTGGCATTAAGCTAAAGGCTTCTATTTGCAACTCTCTCCCAGATTCATTGGTTCATTTGAAATCCAGGCAGAGCTCAGTCTCTCTGCGGTTTGCCTCAAGCTGCTGGATCATTTAAAGATTCATCCTGTTTTTCATGTCTCTCTGATAAATCCTGTACTGTCTACGTATTCCTCCTTTCAGTCCCCCTCCACCTGCCGAAGACATTGACAAGCACTGTGCAAAGGATTTTGGAGGCTCAATCCGAGAAAAGGGTTGTCAGTATCTAGTCGATTGGGAAGGTCATTGACCTGAAGAATAGTCTTGGGTCCCTCCTTCTCCTAGATGAAATCCCAGCCAAAGACCTAAACAGGAATATGTTTCTTGTTGAAATTGGTCTTCTTTTGAATCTCTTTAATGCCAACTCTGAATCTAAGTTTGTATCTGACCTTCAGGGAAAAGGTTTTACCTGTGTACAGCATTTCTCAGTCTTCATCACCTGCCTTTCTGCTTTCCAGCCCAACGTCTCTTGCAAGTACCAACACTCTTGGATCTTACTCACATTCTCCAGGACCTCTGGGGTACGGTCTGCAAAGCCTGCTAAATCAAACCCCTACAGATCCATGTCATTGCCTCTTCATCTCTCAACTAAGCAAATCAATCAGTTCTCAGTTGTCATCAACCAACCCCTTCCTGATCAGACTTCTTTCTCCCCTCAGCCCAACCAGAATGTTCAACTGGCTTCCTCCAGTTTTCTGCTTCCAGATTCTTATTGCTTTTTTGAATAAAATTATAAAATTCAATGGTCCTCTGTGTGATTTTACATGTGTATAAAAAAAAAACCTACAAACCAAAATGACAGAAATGTACTCTTTTTTTTCCTTCATAACCCTTTCAAGAAAAATAATGCAACACATATTTTCTTTTGTCCTATCATGTAACATTTTAGTTTGGTTCATCTGTAGGACAGTAGGACTCTTTGCTATGATCTAATAAGGGGGTATGGGAATGCCTAAACTTAGATAAATCTTTCCATTAATTGCATTTTACTTTAACGGCCCAGCAGGGATAGGGCATGAATAAGTAGTCTGTCTGTATAAAACCTGTCTTTGTACAATCTGTGGTTATTGATTGGTTTTCTTACTGTTAATCAAGATGCAGTAATTGGAGCCCATCAGCTTTCTGTCTCATCGGTTCGACTCTGCCTTTGAGAGTAAGCTGCACTCTGTCCTCTAGTAATTATGATTTTCCATGGCAGTTTGCTGTAATGCATATTGAGGAGCATGACACAAAGCTTTCAGAGCACGCTAATGCTTTTTCTGAAGAGACAGCTTCAAAAAAAACTTTACTGGTCAGACGTGAGTGGATGTAACTGAACAGAGCCCCTTTTTTTGACCTTTGCCTGCTATGATGCAATTTATCACATGTAAGGAGATGCTTTGAATAGCTGGAGGCGTTGTGCAAGTAATTGGAAAACAGCCTTTGGCTTTTGCTGTTCATCTTCTTTTCAGCGAAAATTCATACAAACAACATTTTTGCCCTTATAACCAAAGGAGGTTGCAAAAGCTTTTCTCTGGATGTGTTTCCTATGTTACCGGGATAACAAACTTCAGTGCTGCTTTATGAAATTGGGCACCAACTTGTGGAGATAAATAGGTTTATTTGCAAATATTCTGACATACAGTAATTGAGTGTTTTAGAATAGTGGATTTTAGTATTGGTTTTAATGAAGCATTTTTTTAAAATGTTATGATATAATGTTGCCCCGCGATGGACTGGCGACCTGTCTAGAGTTTACCCTGCGTCTCGTTGGTAAACAGCCGGAGATAGACATCAGCATCCCTCGCGACCCCAGCTAGGATAAAGCGTGATGGAAAAAGGATGGATGGATATTATAATGCAATAATTCTGTATTGTTTAGCAGGACAGTCACAGTTTTATTTCTGATTGGGCTTGGATTGTGTACTTATGTTTTCACTTTTATTTCTAAGATAAAAAGCAGCACAAGTTATGCCCAAAAAGCAAAAAAAGACAATCCTCTGGATTTTGTTTCAAAGTTTGAAGACGTTTCGCTTCCCATCCAGGAAACTTTTTAAATTCAAAATGTCACAAATAGAGTTGAGTTAGATTTATAGTTACCAAAAACAAAGCCTTGTTTTGGCTTAGAAAACATACAAATAGAACCACATGAACGGGTTCGCCCTTTAGAATGGGGGTCGTTTGGGTTTTTTGTTAGGCTGCAATACCCGTTACCTGTCTATGTCTCTGAAAGGGGGGGTTTTAGAGAAATGTTGGCCTGGCTGAACGGGCGAGGTGTTCTGTTCACACCCCTTTCAAACCATCTGTCTTCTTTTTCCATTATGTGAACATTGTGGTCCCCAAAATAATGTCCTTTGTCCAGCGTAGATGTACTGCTAAGTCTTGTCATAAGGAGGTGGCTCTTATGTGTTGGGCCATGAGTCTGTGGAGAGGCTGTTTTTTTCCCCTCCAATATAAAGATCAGAGCATTCCTCACTGCATTTAACAGCATACACCACTCTGTTAATATTCAGTCTAGGGGGTTTGCCATTTAGGATGCACAATTAGTACTAATAGTACTATTATAACCATTAGTATAAGCACAAGTTATAAAAATAAATGTTTTAAATTTCCCATCCTCATTTCAGATTTAGAATTTTTATTGTCGTTAATGTGGCTTCTTTGCATCTTGTTGCTTTTTGTGAATAAAAGGGTAGGATGTTAATCACTATAAGAGTGCGTGACATTGAGCTTATGCTCAGTTATATATACCAGCCAATTGAATCTTAATGACATGCATGAGGAGGACCTAGTTTACTGTTAGTGGGCTGAATGACTGAGGTCATTGATATGCAGACCAGCTGAGGGCCCTGGAGCAATCTGGCCTTGGGTAGCATGTTAACAGCAGGGGTTTGGATAATAGATTTTATTAGCATAGTTTCTGCTAGCAGGTGAGATGCAAAGATCAGAAGAAGGTAGCGGGTAGGAATTTATATCATGAAAAAAAGTTAAGAGTGAAAAAGCAATAGTCTAATGGTTTGGAAAATGACATCATGAATATGAATATGATCTCATGGTCAAATGGTAAAACAGGACCAAAACAGATATTTTGTTAAAGACTTTAACCTCATAAAATAATATTTTTCTGCCTGTGATTTTTGTTATGTTGCATACAGTCACATCATATTGTAATTTTAGAGAGGATATTAATGGTTCTACATCTTTGGATGGTAGCTTAAAGCTCTCACAATGATTATTTTTGCATTGCTGCAGCAAATGTTTACATTAGCTGTTTGAGCGTGAGCAGACAGCTTACCTGCGTGCAATCAATCAATCAATCGATCAATCATTAAAATGAGGTGAGACGAACTTTCTGGTTTGAGCAGGAAGACCACAGCATGAAATCAAAAGTCTGCCGTTCTACTTGGGCAGAGGAAAGAGCTGTGCAAAGTTTGTATCAAGAAAGCGAAGGACTGAACAGACAGCCAGTAAGCTCGCGTTTAATCCTGTTGTGAATGCAATGTATGTGCTGCGCTGATGAGGCATTGAGATGTGGGGGAAATGTTTTTGTTTGTAGCGTGGTTAAGCTTGTAAATAGTGTATTGTGAAAAATGTTGGTTTTTAAGGCTACTTGAAGCTTGCTTTATTTAGTCGGGGAGATGCTGATGTAACTTGTTTGACGTCGTGGTTGAAACGGTCCAACTTAATGTGTATGTAATACTGTTACATGAAGTAATTTGGTGCTAGTGAAGATTGGTTAAAAACGTGCATCTTTCTTCCTGCATGTGATTAAAACGGACTTTGAGTATTCCACAGCTTAAATGAAATTTCATAGGTTGTAATTGTTATGCATATTTAAAACCTGCTAAAATTTACTGTTTGTGAATTCATTTAACCTATGGGTTTTAGTAACATGCTTAAATCCGCTTCCGTTGTTAAAATGCGTTAATATTTTTTTTATGCATTTTTATGATAATAAAAAACGAAATGGTCTTAAAGGAGAAGTTCGGTTCTTTACACTTTAAGCCCATTTTCTGTAGTGTCCAGGATGAAATCGAATGATCGACACCAAAAGTTTGACAATTGCTCCTGTCTCTGCTTTTTGGCTCATTTAGAATCCCCCCCTGGCTGCTTTAGAATGGCTTGCATAGAGCATGTCCGATAATGTCCTTAAAACAACCTCTGTTAAACACTTCAAAAAACTCTGAAAATGGAATACGAAAGGTGGATTCTTGATTCTCACCGTCGGAGTACACAGAGTGAAGCGAAAAGACTACAACTGTGTAAACAGGCCCCATTTCCGTTTCCGGTGGCAGGGGAATATTGACTATTCCTACAGAACTCAATGGGATTTACAAAATGCTAAATAAAACACTACAGGAACGTTTTTTCTTTACGAAACTTTTTTTGGAACGTCATTGAACAGCGCTGACGACCCGGTGAGTAGCATATTTTAAAAAAAGAACGTTTAAGGTTGTTTTAAGGACATTATCGGACATGCTCTATGCAAGCCATTCTAAAGCAGCCAGGGGGTGATTCTAAATGAGCCAAAAAGCAGAGACAGGAGCAATTGTCAAACTTTTGGTGTCGATCATTCGATTTCATCCTGGACACTACAGAAAATGGGCTTAAAGTGTAAAAAACCGGACTTCTCCTTTAAAGGTAAAACCATAGTCTTTTTTCATAAATATATTTAATGATACATTTCTCAGAACTGTCTCTGTTTTGTTTGGTTTCGTCTCTTTAAGGTTTTTCACCTACAAATAATTAACGATTAACTGTTAACAACACAAGAAGAAAAAGGAAAAGATGGAACAACAGTTTGGTCATTGAGTGGAACCCAGTTTAAATGTTCAGCTTGGTACAACCCTTCAAGTGTGGAAATAGCACAGCAAAGAGGTGATCACTTGACATGCATACTTATGCTGCCATGTTTAAATATGCGTATTATATGAGTCCAAATGTGTAGATAAAATTTACTTATTAAAACAAATCATCCTTTCACATTTTTTACCCTCCTCCACAGATTCCCTTTCTGAAATCCTGGTATTATTTCAAAATTGAAGAGACAATTTATTGAAATATTCAGTTAAATATATAAATCTGCATGTGTATTAAAGTGTATTAACATTATGAAATGTGTTGCCTTTGTATTAGGATGAAGTGGGTTAAATTACTGGCTAGGCACTAAGTTATTATAATAGTGACCTTTTTCATTTTTTCTTGTCTTTCATACGACCAATATCCTGACCTGTGACTTTCCCAAAAGTTAAAATAATTGTTTTCAAATAATTTCAGCAGCATTTTATTTATCTCTTGGTTTAGATGTTAATGCTATTTATTCTTTTAGTGTGCACTAACCAGGGCTTGTACACAAATCCATATACCTTTATTTGCGATAAGTATACACAGTAGGATTGGTGTACTATCTTAAAAACAAAACTTTCAGAGTTCGATTTATTGGTAACAACTGTATCTGACATGTTTTGTCTGTGTAACACAAGAAGATTAAAAAGATCAACCAATAAAACATGCTCATTTTCAATATAAAACCATACGCATATAGTAACTGTCGAGTTAAAGGTGAGATTGCCTTAATGTGGGTATTTTTGTCATGAAGACATGGATAG